TCTTCCGACTTCACATATTTTAGTTCCCTTAGGAAACAGGCTCCTAGTGGTTCCTTGAGTTAGACATAGCCGAGCTCGTAAGGTGAATAAAAACCATTAAAGTCACAAAAACAGTGCAAGTGATAGCAAAACTACATGTTATGTAGCCCCAGTGTGGAGATGCCCCACATCTTTGTGCTCAGTCTCCACCCTGCCTACAGGAATGTACAGGGCTGGCTCAGTGTTCTGTGCAACATGCAGGATGGGCACTGTAAATTGTGCTACACATTCCAGCCACTGCATAAAAAAAGCTGTCTTGTGGAGGATGTCGAATACAGACGTGCACTTAGTTCCTAGCCTCAGGGACCTTCCCTCCATTCAGATTTTGCAAGTGTTTACCTTGATGATCCAGCTGCTCAGAGCTGCTAAACCAAACAGACTGTAACAGATAATACGCATGGTTGAGTGATCTCAATCAGTATGCACAGCTGACCCTGTACTTGTTAGCAACACTTCCTGGATACTTATCCACCTACCGCATTTTCATTATTAAGAGACACAAATATATATATAAAAGAAAGTCCCCTCACCGTAAAATCAACACCCAGGCCAAACCGCTGGACTTAGAGACACCAAATTCAGGGCGAGCGCTCCTACCATGGCATAGGTGTTCTCTAAGAAGGGATTTTGAGAAATTCAACCCCTAAGTGGGTCAAAAGGGGGGAAATTTGCTCCCCCCATTGATTCCTATGCGGCTGCCAGGCAGCTGCCTCTCTGCACCCCCCACACTCTGATTGGTCAGCTTCAGAGCTCAGTGTTCTGAGGTTAAAAAAACCCCAGTTACAGGGGACTACAGAGAGCTAATGACAGTTGAGGAAATCAGGAGTGGCCAACCACATGTGAGGTGAAGCAAAGCTGCTGGCCCAGCCTCCCTATTGCTTCAAACATGCTCCCCCCTCCTACATCTGACAGGCAGTTGTCTGTCAGGTGCAGCAGCAGTTGCAGGGTGCTTAAAGCCACGAGGGAGCCTGCCCCAGCAGTAACGCCTTAGTGATCCTGCCAGCCCCGCTTCCACAGTGGCTTCTAATACCTCTCCCCCTCCCACACTGGACAGGCAGCTGCCTGTCAGGTGCAGGAGAGGAGGTGGGATGCTTACAACCGCCGGGGAGGTTTGCTCAGCAAGACTGTCTTAGCCCTGCTGCTGGCCCAGCCTCCCTGATACCTTTAAACATAATTCCCCCAACACCTGACAGGCGGGTGTCTGTCAGGTGTAGGAGCAGGACCAGGGTACTTTAATCCATCAGGGACACCGCCCCAGCAGGATCACCTTAACGATGCTGCTGGCGTAGCCTCTCTGATGGCTTCCAACACACTCCCCCACCTCCTACACCTAACAGGCGGTTGGTTGTCTGTCAGGTGCAGCAGCAGGGTGCTTAAGGCCACGAGGGAGCCCGCCCCAGCAGTCTACAAAGTGGTCCTTCAGTAGAGAGAAAAAAAGTACATATGTCTCACTTCATTATTTTTTACACTACAATCTTCTCCATTAGAATTCCTACAACAAATGTTACATTTCAGACTTTACATCATCAATATTATAACTGGATTTATGGAAATTAAATACCGTAGCGAAGCACGGGTATCAGGCTAGTATACAATAAATGAACAGTTAGAATCAGATACCATTTTGTACCTGCCACCAAGTTACTTAACCTGAGAGCAAACTTTCCTAATGAACTTGCAGTTAGCCAATCAGATACACACCACCACCTTCCAGGTAAGCACCCTGTCAAGCCATAGATACACACAATCAAACAAGTTAAGTACAGATCCTTCACCAACATATCTGAAGGACTTCCTCAGCCATAGAACATACCTTCAGTCTTTCCTACCAAACTTACCAGAGATTCCCAAATACAGCATTTACATCAGGGACCAAAGTTGAAAACTGGCAGAGGACTCAGCCATGGCCCTTATGAAAAACAGAACAGTGCTCCTGGGCATGCACAGACAGCCTTCTCCTACCACCAATGGGTAAACACAAATGTCTGAGACTGAGAAAAGCCATCCTGAACAGGTCTCCTCAGAATCCTACCCAGAAGAGCTTACTCTGAGGAAAGTGTTCTTAGGACTACACGAAGTCAAACATTCCAGGCCTCAGTCAGCGACTTCCAAGCAAGCTCCGTTCAATCCATATTACAAATTGAGTTTTGGCAAAGACTGAAGGGAAATCCCCAGTGTTTCACGGGGAGAGAAGAGCAGAGAAAACACAACAACATTTTGCAGGTCGCAGCCATGCACAGCATGGCTCCCCAGGGCAGGCGCAGCTCCCAGGCAGACCCCCCCTTCTTTCCAGCCACGCCGCCCGCACACTCCCGCCCGCCCAGGCCACAACCCCCACCAGACACCCCCCTCCCCAACAGTAAGACCACGGGCGCCTCGCGACAGCAGCCTGCTTCCCAGCCTCGCTACCAAGCGGCCCAGCCCCGGCGGCATCTCACTAACCGGCAGCGTCCCTTGCCAGGTTACCGGCGGGCGCGTGTGAGAGGCTAAGGGAGGGAGAGCCGCCTCCACGGCGACCGGCAGCCAGGAAAAGCGGAGCCGGCCCAACCCGGACGCACATCCCGGCTCGCCCCCACCTAGCTCTGGTACATCCACACCCCCGGAAACACCGTCAGGGCTGCGGTGGGACCCGCCTGGGAAAGACAGCCTTCCCGGGCTCGCCTCCGCTCCGCCTTCCTTGGGGACCGAGACGAGAGAAGGCAAGACTGGGTTGCCGCCGCCGCCGGCACCACCCGTCTGCTGCTGCTCTCCCTCTGTAGGAGCGGGAGCAGCCTCGCTGGCCAGGGTGGGAGACTGAAGGAGGCGGAAGCAGGGTTGCAGCGACACGGAGAAGCGCTGCATTCGATGAGCAACACGCGAGGAGGCACACAGCCCAGCACTGGTGCTGCTAAAGGGGTTATCCACCCCAGGTTTAAAGGCGAAGAGCGCCGGGGAGGCTGCCAGCGCCGACACGACGCCGGGTTATTCGGAAGCAGTCGACGGCGCTGACATCTGGGACTGTGCCTCCCAAGGAGGAGTGGGCACGACGGCCGAAAGGGACTGTCTTTTCCTTACGGCAGTAGATGAGGCACGCTGGTGCTGATCTAAAAGTCACCCTCGTTCAACAAAAAACATCAAAGGGAGACTCCTGAAACCGCTGAGTAGGAATTCGCTAAGAGGTTAGGTAGCCTCGCCTCTCCCCTCTCCCATTGAACAAGGATCTGAGATCTTTACCTCGCTATAGGTAACCCTGGTTCTGGTGTCCCTGCCATCTGAGGCTAGATGGGTAGCTACCCCCAAAAGCCCCTTCTCTGTGGCTGCACCAAAACTTTTTTTCTCTTTCCCCAGGGAGATTCATCTGTCTCCCATGGTTCTCTTCTCCCCAGGAGTGAAGCTTTTGGGGGGTTTGTCATACCCCAATAACTTTTGGCTCTCCTCCCTACTTTGTGTGTTTATATAAACTTATTTTATATATTTATTTTAAATGCTGTTTTGATGTTTGCCACTTTGGGGGCCAATTTGGCAAGGAAAGGCAGCTAAATAAACCATCCTACAACACATGTGAATGCCTGCCTAATACAAGTAGTAGCTAATTTAGCGTATTTTCTTTATTTTATCTTAATTTTACCAGGCTGCATTTTGCCCTGTACCACTTGCATTTATTTGTTTACTTACTTAACTTCTCATTTGCCTCTCTCATTGGGACTAAAAGGATTACAGAGTTATAAAACCAAGCTATAAAGACCAGTAAAATACATATAATATATTTTTAATACTTTCTATATAAATGACTATATAGTGAGGGTCCACTAACTGCATCTGAAGAACTAAACTAAAAGCCTGGCCGAACATCTCTGCCTTGCAGGCCCTGTGGAATTGCACCAGATCCCGCAGGGCCCTGATGTTAGGAGCAGTACCTGGCAGATCATTGAATCTGAAGGATGAATAATACAAACTCTAATCATGTCTAGCCTTTCCTTTTAAGATACTGCTTTTTTACCAGGAGACCTTGAGATTTAGCAACTTTTGTAGTAAGTCAGACCCCAGCTAGTTTACTCAGAATCATCCCACTAAGATAAATGGTGGGAATTTTATATTGAAATAGTCTGGACTGGGTTGTAAAGCCTCTCCCATTGCCCCCATACTCGGAATAAAGAGTCAGACACAGAAAGTGGGATAAACTATGGGCCACTTTAATAAATTCACAGTTGAAAATAATGGCAAGGGCAAATATGTGAAGTGGCACGATCCGGGCCAGGGGTCAGCGTTGACCCTTCCCCAGTCGTAGGATGCGGAGCCACCCACCCCCAGCTTGAGCCAACCTGTGTGGCTCCCCACTGGCGGGCATAACGAAAGACATGCCCTGGAGATCCAGCCCCAAGTCGTAGAACTTAAGCGGCCGATCGATCCATGCAGTCCCCAAGGTAGTTTGCCGTATTTTCCCTGGGTCGCTCAACCCAAAGGCTAATCTGGCCAAACTCCTGCCTTCCACCCTTCTCAATTTCCCCCCCTAACTGCCGCTTCTAAACCCCAAGCAGGAGAAAGGTTGCTGGCCATAACAGGCCCCCGCGGGCCAACATATGGTATACGAAAGCCAAACTTAAAACCATCTAACAGATACGTGGTGACATTTCTAAGGGGCAACTCACCAGCCAAGCCTCGAGAACCTTCAGGTTAATGGGGCCGGGCCCCTTTACCATGAGCTTGGTTGCCTCCACCACCCCCTTGCCTCTTTTGCCCTCTCCTAGGTCGGGCCTTGGGGCAGTTGCTAAAGGAGTGTGGGCCGCCGCAAAAGGGGCAGTCGTGCCTGTATTGGCATGCTTTCCTGCTACAAACCCCGTGTGAGCCAAACTCCCAGCACAGCAAGCGGGGTTGAACCACCTGACCCGCAGACTCGCGGGAACTGGGAGCCGACTGTGCACGCTGTACTAAGTGACCACTATGCGACCTTTCCCCCGTCACTGGGCGTGCCGGGGACATGTTGAGCCAACCTGTGTGGCTCTCCACTGGCGGGCACAACAAAAGACATGCCCTGGAGATCCAGCCCCAAGTCGTAGAACTTAAGCGGCCGATCGATCCATGCAGTCCCCAAGGCAGTTTGCCATATTTTCCCCGGGCCGCTCAACCCAAAGGCTAATCTGGCCAAACTCCTATCACCTGAAGTAATTAATTGGTGCTCCCGTTAGCCGCATCTCAGTTATCAGCCCCAGTCCTGCCACAGCCGAGGTCAAGCCTCAGCTTAAGCCGATGCCCCCACCGAGAGGCTTAATGCCTCCTGTAGCCCTTGCCGTAGGTCATTAGTGTACCCAGTGTACTCTTTGTAAATTATGTCCATATATTGAAGTAAGGACGCAGCCCGGTAGGGTTGCGTGCGAGCGATGACACCCGCATATATTAAAAAAACGCTAGCCAATTGGCCCATGTCCTATCTACCGTCCTCCTTTTTAACCTCTCCTTTTCCCTCTCCTCAAGTTCCTCCTTGTCCTTCTTTTCCAAATCACAATAAAGTAGGGAGAAGACATCAATGTAGTCGCCTTTCAAGATTTTCTCTTGTGTGGCCAGCAGCAAGTGGTCCCCTAATTGCAAGGCCATATTGCCCGAAGGCAAGTCCTTGGCTGGCACTTGGTTTAAAGTCATACCCCACGGGGCCTGAGAGCCCCAAGCCCCCCAAGGTGCCAATTGCCTTGTCAAACTCCACTGTGGCGGCGGTGTGAATGGACCCGCAGCCCAGGCCCAAGGTGAAGTGGAGGAGAGGTTCGCTAAAGAATCTCCCACCTGGGCAACGGTCGTGGCACCAGAGGCTGATGGCTGACGCCATGGTCCCCAGGGCCAAACCGGGCCCAGCTGCAGTGAATTAACAGACTCACCTGCCGTGTCGTGAGCTGCTGGTGGGTTCGCACCTCCCTTAGATGCAGAAAGCTCCCGCGTTGTTCCTGAGCCTGAAGACACCGCCTCCTTGCTGCTGCAAGGTTCAGGTACCCCTCCAGAGCCAGAACATCTTCACTTTTAAAACAGAGTCTCTTTTCTTTTTTATCTTTGTAGTTGAAGACCAATCCTTTGGGTATTACCCATCTGTAGGGGATGGAGTTTTTCTGCAAAAAGCTGGTTAAATTTTTGTATTGAATCCTCTTCTTTCTTATTTCAAATGGAATGTCTTTTAAGACTCCAATTTCTTTGTCTTTGATTTTTAAGGTAGTCCCATTTGTGGCCTTGAGCACCACGTCTCTTGTTGATCTTTTAGCGAATCTTGCCACTATCTCCCCAGGCAGGCTCTTTTTTCTTAATAAATTCTGGATATGTCCGATAGACCAAATTCAGATCACTTTGCAATGTGTCTGCCACCGCTTCACTTAATATTTCTTTCAGATTCTTATCTTGCTGTTCAGGAACACCTTGAAATCTCAGAACATATGCTGATGTTTCCATTTGTAGTCTTAAAAGTTGATCTTTATCAGAGGATCTTGGTTTTTCCATCACCTCCAGTCTTTGATTAGTATCTTTTGCTTTGGCGTCAACCTTTTTCACTGATTTTGCAGTCTCCTCTGTTTTTAAGTTTGTCTCTTTAAGCTGTTTTTGGATCTCATCCAACTTCTTGTTGGTGTTAGTCATCTGCTCCAGCAGAGGGTGCAATGCAGTAGCCAACATGTTCGAGAAGTCAGTATTTACTTCCGGTTTAGTAGCCGGATGTGTTGATCTTGTAGTTCCAGGAAAGTGTTTCAGTCTCATCACCATCTTTTCTGCCAGCCCAGTAATTTTTTATATTTCAAGGAAAGTTTTCAAAAGTCAGCAAAAGTTGTTTCAAAAGCTCTGTATAGAAATATTGATTTCTAAAAGCCTTCCCCTGGAATGTTTTGCTGATCCCCTGTTGTGCTGTATTTCCTGTTGAAAACAAATTGTGGGCCCCATGGCCTCGATAGCCATGCCATAAACCACATTCCTTCACACTTCCATGCTGGAAGCTAGGCCTGCATGCCCAAAGTCACGTACAAAATGAAGTAGTTGGAGTTTGGGGGTCACCTGACTGCAGAGGGTGGTCTCCGGACCTAGCCTATCCCCACCCATTGCCATGACCACCAACAGTTGGACACACACCATTCCACTCCCTATTGGCCCCTGGCCAGGGCTAATTTGGGACGGGGATTGCACTATGTCTGGTCATTCCCAATGAGAGGAACTCTCTTTTTCTGCTGTGCTCTCTGCTGCTCTGTGTTCTGTGCACCTTAACTGTTGTCCTGCCATGTGGTCTGTGGGAGAACAAAGGACTGCTTTTGTGAGCTGAGCATGTGCTTGCAAGGATGGAATTCTTGTTCCTCAAAATCCCTTGATGCTACCTGGAGTATTACAATGGACAATCTTGAACTCTTGGATGCTTCCTGACGTGGTAAATATGAATTACTGTTTAGTTAAGGCACACTGCCTTAGGTTTGTTATTTTGAAATCCTTCTAGTCTATGCTAAATTCTCTACTGAATAAACTTATTCTGGTTTATAACTTGTCTGTATTGGTGTAACTGATATCTAAGCCTAAACTCCTGTGCCTTATGCTCAGCCTATAAGCTACCTCTGTGTAAGATTAATTGTGCGTCTC